ATTATATATCTATATTGGTGTAAAAAAATACGTCATATATATTCTTTAAGGAAATACTTTCCTCTCTCCGACACTAATTTTCGAAGAATATATTATTAATACAACTTGTGCCAAAAGAGTTTATTATACAATGAGTGACTTTTAATATGTTTTTATTTTCTCAAAACACTTGGCAAAACGAAATGTCCTGCGTTTATAGAACGCAGCTTAATGATAATAAAAATGTTGTTCTCTGTGTAAAAATTTGTTATTTATTTTATATTCTCACAAATTTATATTTTATCACCTCTAAAATTTTCAAAATTATATCTATTTACAGAATTAGTAGCTGCATTATTGTAAACATACATTCTTAACATTAATTTTATAAATTGTATTCCCTTAAATATAACAGTATCATCATATCGAATAAATCTATTAATTTGATATAAATTACATCGAAATTAATAATTAATAATTACCCGATAAGCTTTCTTCATAAAAATAAACATCACGGTCATTCAGCGGTTGAACTGGTCGACAATTCAAAAGTAATGGGCCCTCTACTGAACAAAGTTTTCGAAATTTCTCTATCTGTAAATTATATTATATGACGATAAAAAGCTGAAAAATATTTTAGTGACGTATGATTTTACCTGGGATGAGGAAATAGCGATTGGTTCTTGCTGTACCATCCATGTGACAATTTCACTACAAGGTGGCTGGCTAAGAGAACCGCTATATGTATAATAATCTCTGTCAAAAGGCGCGAAAATCCATTCTAATGGAAAAGGAGGTATATAGACTATAGATCCCGGACAGGTAATACGCCACAAATTGCTTATGATATGATCCAAATAAGGATTATCTGTGTCATTTATCTGTGTCAATGTATTATGATAAGTAAGGATAATTACGACGAATTACTTTGATATAGTACATTTTACTAGTTTAATTTCTTAATATTTGTGCATTTATTTGTTAACAAAAAATATACTTGAAGGAAGAACGAAGTAATCGCTATTCCGTCTTTGGTTCCAAGTGCGATCGCATCTGTTGGTGATTTAATTCCACGTTTTACATGAATAATTTGTAGTTCCATAGGAAAACGGACATAGTCTAAGGTATGTTCACTGCCCTCTTCGTTTGATGGACCCCAGTGAAATATAACATTAAAGAAATCATATGTATCGGTCAAAGGTCCCCCTTGGAGTTGCGGCCATGTGGTACTAGTCCAGAATCCTCGGAGTATTACTGTATATTAATATAATGTTAAACCTATACCATTATACTTTAAATTGCTTCTAGAAAATTTACCAGTATGACCATCATTTGCAATAGTCATCGACAGAGGTCCGCTATTATAATTGCTCCATCGAAGTGGCTCAGATGGTTGCATTACTACAGCGAGCCTAGTTGTGATATTAATAGGCGATTGATTGCTACCAGTGCTCTCAGGATATAGATCTTTCCATGTATGAGGACCATTCTGATAAGCAGCATAGCCGAATGAAAAAGTGGGTGAACGGTAATCATTTTCCATCCATGCAAATAACTGCGTCCATTCCAAAATTTCAGTTAATAGTAACACTAACGAAAGAAATTTAATATTAAAAAAATATTTCAGTTATTTTAAAAATAAAACCTCAAATTGATGATTACAAACAAAAATTATTAGAAAATAATGTTATAAAAAAAAAACTCTCTCTCTGTGGAGGTTATTATTTTATAATTAAATCATTGCTTTTTATTTTTCTGAGAAATACGTACCCATAAGTAGAACACTGCTGCACGCAACCATACATTCTACTAACGAAAAACCCAACATTTTTGTATTAAAGCTTCCCTGACATTTGTACCAAAAAAACTCGGTGTTAAAACCCACGTGCGGTATTTCCGACGTAATAAATTTTTAAGCGAGTAATATACTTCACAATTTGTTTCATTCCGCATTAATTTCTATCAAAAATATTTAGAAAAGTACGAAATATAATGTAAAATAATTATTACGGTCAAATAATTTTTAAGAAAATTGATATATAAAGCTTACTTCAATTTATAAAAATAATGTGAAGCATGGTGCGAAGTAATGTGAAGATAATTCAAAGATTATAATGTATTAGTAGCTTCATGGCTAGTAACACCATGAATAATTTCTTACTTTTAAACAATCTTTAAATTATTTATTTCATTGCATGATCACGTCAATTACTCAGAACTTATTTCCAATAATGTTATCAAAATAATTACGACATTAGTACCAATATTTTAAAAATAACATGTCGCGTTTAAAAGAGATGAAAATTTAATATTAGATTTCTTTCTGTTTAAAAGCTCGATGTACTCATCGTGACATCCAAAGCCCAGATGACATCCAAATCTAAGAGTTTCCAATCACGTAAATAAAAATTTTTATATTTTATAGATAAAAAATGTGTTATAGATATATACTTGTTTAATAGCTATATAAAAATGTCCTTATTATATTTATGTAATAAATTTTATTTTCAAGTGCGTTCTACACAAGAACAAAAATTATGCACGACGTCATCTTCGGGTCTTCCGAAATGGCGGCAATCTCCGATCGATATCAGTCGCGTTGCAGTATGGAATAAAAAATTTCCGCCATTACTTTTGACAAATTATTGGTCAAACATTGGCACAGCGATACTTGCAAACACTGGAAAAACAGGTTCTCTTCATTCAATATAAATTCCGAGCAATACATTACGCATTTATAGTTTAATAATTTTTAGTTAACATCGAATTGGCGAATAGAAGATTGCCGATAATGCGTGGCGGCCCATTGAAGGATGATGAATATCAATTTATGAATGTACAATTCCGATGGGGCCCGTCCAACTGTCGAGGCGCGGAACATTCTATCGACAATATTTGGTTAGAGATATGAATTTCATATGAAAAGTTACTAACTATGTGTGAAAAATATATTAATATTTTTCATTTAATTTAAATTTAAATTAAAATTATATTTTATTTTAAATAAATAAAACACGAATTTGTTGTTATAACTAATGAGATCAATGCAACGTCAAAATAACGGTATTTATCAAGGTATTCGATGGAAGCACAAGTCATGCATTGGAATACGCGTTATGGATCGATAGATAAGTGTTATGACAAATCTGATGGAATTTCAATACTTTCCTATCTTATGCAGGTATAATGGTCGAAAATTAATTAAAATCTAACCTGTCAAAAGAAATCTTCTTATATGATAAAGTTTTATTTTTAGAATAACTTTTGTTATAATTAAATTATAAAATTTTTAGAATAATTTTTATTATATGTTGTTGTAATTTAATTATAACATTTAATTGTGATAAAAAGGTTGTTGGTTGTCCTGGAATTCCAGACAATCCTATGCTTGCTCTAATCACTCATAAACTCCCAGAAATAAAACGAACGCAGAGCACCATAAATATTACTCCGGGTAATTACATAATATGAAATTATCTTTTTTTTAATAATATTTATTAAATTCTATTAATCATAGAATAGCTCATATAATTGTTAATGTTAGTGTTTTCTTTTTTTTCTTTTCATTGTAGCAAACATTGAGAGCAATTTTCCAAAAATTATTTTTAATCAACTTTATTTTGAAATATACTTTAAATACTTATTTTAGAATATACATATATTATTTTTGTAATATTCGATAATTTTTTTATTTCCATGATAGCTTTAATTACATAGAATATTGTTTACAATATTAACATTTTTTAATTAATCATGTACTTATTTACAGATTGTTTACGTTGGATGATGTATGCATGCACTTGTCCTGGATATTACACTTATACAGGTTCTCTTACTTTCCCTCCGTATAATGAATGCGTCACTTGGATAATCGTGCCAGATGCTATAAAAATATCCTCCAATCAAGTATATTAAAAGCATATTATTGTATTAATTTAACTTAAAAAATTATTTACAGTTTCAAATATTGACGTATATAATATGATAATTTATATTTATTATAGATCGAAGCATTCAGAAGCCTTTATAATCATAAATGGGAGCATATAGCAAGAAATTATAGATCACAACATCTTCTTCATGGAAGAAGGATTTTCTTTGCCACAAATGATGCAGTAGTTTGATCGATTAAAATATATTTTTTGTTAAAGAAATAAATTCAATTAGAAATTATTAAACTGAATTCACATTGAACAAACAAGCATGAACAAATACGAATGAATAATGTGTTGAAATATATCGTTTGTGTTTGCTTGCTTGCTTTAATCCGGCTTATAATGTAGTATAAAATAGGATTTATATATTTTCCTCTTCTATTCTCCTTTATATATTTTCATTTTATTTTATGAAAAGAATGGATAAGAATTTTATTTTTTTACTAATGTTCCGAAATTTTATAATTTGATGATATATTTTTATATTATATTTATGGCAGAGAGAAATCTTAGAAGATACATAAGGGCATTTTTCTTGTAACCACAAAAATGTCTCCGCGCCCTACTGCCCACTAAAGAAGTGGATGTAAACTATAAAAAAAAATATATTTTTTGCAGTAATCCTGATGAAAATAAATCACTGAAATCACTGACAACTAAAATCTATCAAATTAATAGATTCAAATTTCTCTTTGCCTATATTCATAGTCAGATCTTATATTTAAGATCGTTTTAAGTACAATCATAAGATGTCATGAACCAATCAGAAAGCATCTTAGGACATTACTTAATGTAGTCTTAAAATAAGAATCGACTATGAATATTGGCCTTAATTTGTAATATTTTACTGCGAATGAGGCCCATTTTTAACAATTTGATTTAATTTAATTTTGGGTTTTATTTACTCTTATATCTCTTTCTTATACACTAATATAATTTGAAGATAATAGTGAGATATTTCAATTGATAAGATGCCTAATGTGTATTTTACCAAATAGCACAATAAAATGTATTGAGAATTTTAAGAATTTAGTTTGTTTTCATATTATCGATTTACATATAACTTTAATATGCGCAACAATTCTGCCAATGAAAAACGCTATTAGATTTTATAGAACCACCATCCCCGCCGATTTTATCGGCGCTCCTCTTTTCTTTGTAAGTATACTCACTCCGTAAAAAAAACGAGCTATTAATAAATTTAGTTCAGACATGAAAACTGCGCGCTGCAGATTTTTCAGACTTTCAATACGAGTAATCTGAACGCTAATAATCCCCCTTAAATCAAACTAGAAAATCTGTAAAGAGCGAGAAATATTACCTCAGCACAGGATATTTTTTTTGTGGATGTGTGCGCACAGATCCACAAAAAAAAATGTGCTGAGGTGGAGATCCAGCTATTCTTATGTATTTTGAATCGCTGAATACGAATCTGACATCAAAATATCATCTAGGGTAAATTGTCAATGGGGAAAAATGAGTAAAAATGGGAAAAAATTGGTCATTTTTTCGCTCTAGATTGAACATTTAACCTGGATAATCTTATTTTGTCAGATCCATATATAGCGACAAAATACATAAGAATAGCTAGATCTCCACCCCAGAAGCGCTATTCTGTAACTATTTTACACGCCTATCGATAGTGATCGGTATTGTTGCGCAGCTTTTTCATCATATCAAATATCTACACAATGAATGATGTCTTACAACTGTTAATAGTGTAAAGACAGTTACAGTGCCCCAGCACAGGATACTTTTCTTTGTGGGCTTGTGTTATTAATTATAATTATATTTTATTAATATATGATAGTGACTATGCTAAGAATGTGTAAGTTAACTGAAAATACTTTTCAACTTTTGTTACCGTTATTTCTTGAATAATTCTACTATTTTGTGTGTAACTTATGAAATCCAGAGCCACCATGAGTTATTTCTTAAAAAATATACTTTTATTTTTTTCTTAAAAACTAATAAATATTAACTAAATATATACTTATTAAATTTGAAAATATGCATTATGCTTTAATCATAAAAAAAATGATACAAAAATTTTTAAATTTAGGTGTACTTTTAAGAGTTTGAATTTTTGTGATTGAATAATGCCCCGGTCTCCCCTATATTTAAAATTTAATAAAGTAAAACAGAAAGTTTTAAGTAAAACAGAAAGTAGTTCATATAAAGAACAAGTTGCGACAAGAAACATACTTTTTTTTACAACGTATAAATACATCTATTATTGTAACTTGTATTTTTTTCTAGATATCTGAAATAATTTAGGCAGGTTTGGACACGGATACAAGTATGCGGCTGGTTTTCTGAATGAAGATAGAATAGGCATTTAGATAGAGAAGGTAGAGTTGGCACTTAAATGATTGGAATAGCACAAGGAAGTTTGGATGCAATTATATCACATATATTGGAAAGAGACCAATTTGAAGAGGACATTTTCTCATTCCAATTGTGCTCATATACCTAGAGATATAAAAAATAATCTATTTTCAGGAAATGCAATATGAAATAGCTCAAGCAGTAATTTAAAACGCGCTATTGGTTATTGATTTACGACGCAGCTGATAGATGCTAAAAAAGATTATGAAAGAAGCGGCTATGGCCAACTTTATTGCATCTATTATGTAACTTGCTAATTTTTATTTTACTTTAAACTCAAGGCTACATATAATGAAAGCCCTTTTATATATATACAGTATATATATATA